CGTTAGTTTAAATTACATAAAAGTCGTAATAAAAATGTTATTGTATCGTTATATTTTAAACTAAAAATTAACGTTGTTTTAAAGTTTAATATTAATCTATGTGTTAATATTATTTTTAAACATTCTTATATGACTAAAAGTTCATAATTTTGTTAAATATACATATGATATCAACGTTAGTTTAAATTAAATGCAAGTCTTAGAAAACTTTATTGAATTCAAACCTTTTAACATTTGGTTAATTAAGTATATATTAATATTGTTTTTAAACATTGTTATGTAACTAAAAGCCGATAATTTTGTTAAATATACGTATAATATTAACGTTAATTGAAAATAAATATAAGACGTATATAGAACGTTATTGTATTTAAACCTTTTAACGTTCCATGAGAGGGCGCATCAAAAGGCCTATGAACGATATGATAAAACTTAATGAATAGTAGTTCAGTCAAGACAACAGAAGCAGATTCATATTTATATATTTGCTTTAGTTTATACTGTTTGAATAATATATTGAACTTATTTATTATAAATTACTTTGATTTTAGATGGAAGTTTAAATAAAGAGTTGTTTTACAACGTTTAGCTATTGCATAATATTAAACATTTAAATGTTGTTTAAAAATATACGTTTAATTATTACGTAATAAAAGACTATTTAATGGGCATATAATCGTTTATTGAAAATACTTAATACGTATAATTATAATATATTTTTTTATTCAAAATCAACCGATATATCTTCTTTTTCATATTCGAAACTATGTAAAATCAACGTTTAATTTTAATATTATCTTAATAGTAACACAAAACGTTACAAACATACTTTAAATTTAAATGCAATTTGTGGTTGTTAATAACTTTATTTTCTGCGACATTTGAACTCTTTCTTATACGTTTGGTTATCAACCAGTTTTACACGTTTTTTTAACGTACGTGTGCTCATTGGCCTAAAGGAAGAGTTCGCCAAGCATTCCATTCGATACCGCCTGTAGCCTGTGCCCAAAGATAGAAATTTCCTCACGTTCCCGCATATCTTTTAAGACGCATACTTGTTAAAAAATATTACATTTATCTTAAAAATTGTTATTTTAATACTCTGTTTTTTTATCAAAAAACCACTCAAAATGAGTATAGGGAAATAAACAGGTACTTCATTTATTTTTGGATGTAAAATATAGAAAAATAATTAAAAAATGATGTATCCATTTCACGTCTCTAAAACTTGATACGGTATCCTACTTCAAAAACCTAAATGATTGAAATCAACAGGTTTATGTTGATGGTGTCACGAGCGTTATGAGAAAGCTTTGGTGTTTCGCAAGGCACTGTTCTTGGACTTTTACTATTCACTGTATATGTAAATAGTTTATTGGACATGAACGTGAATGGAGCCATTACGGGTTTTTCTCACGACACCGCAATATTTAATAATGGAGACACTTGGAAAAACTAAAAGGTATGATAGAAGCTGATTTTTCTATTATAACAAAGTGGTTTGCATAAAACAAACTCACTTTCAACGTAGAAGCTAGTCCATATCTACCGTTGTCACAAGTTTAACAGTAGCTAGTCACGTGACAGTGCTGCCTCCATCCCTTAATAGTATATTGGAGATAGTGTTCTAAATTAGTTAGAGACAGCTACAAAGGTTTCTTCTGTCGCGTACTCAGAATAATTGTATATTGTCTACAGTTCTTTAAATTATACAGTCCATTTTATTTATCTGACAGAGAGTAATTAATCAACATAAACAATCATAACCTCTTTTCTTACCAATTTTTAATATAATCCGAACATTTATTTCTCACATATAGATAGTGTCGCTGGGTGACGGGCGGTGAATTGGCTCAATGGTTAGAGTCATGACTTTGAGATCAAAGAGTCTCAGGTTTGAATTCCAACGATGACAGGATTTTAATTTAATTTGGCGAATTAAATATTAATGCTTAGTTAGGATTCCCCACTCGACTATTCTTAACAATGCTGTTCCTAAAGTGACGCTGGGAAACAGTAACAAAGCCTACACAGAATACGAGGCGAAATAACCTTAGCAGTTGAAGCCGATGACACATACAAAAAAAAATCCGCAGTTGATGAGCATTAACAGTCGCAGATGTCTCCAACATTTTTTTTTATTTACCCAGGTGTTCATATAACTGTTGTGTAAAATTGACGATTCGTGTCTCTTCATTAGCAAAGACAAGTGTTGCCAATCAGATACTCCATTTGTATCACAAAAAGTGTTAGGAGTTTAACAAAACAACTTAACAACAAAATCAAAATAAAGAATCTTTAGAAATAGAGTAAATAAACCAAGTCCTTTCGATGTTTTCTCGATTTGCTAGACTTCTTACAAAGTATTTGCACGAAAACTTGCTCTTACCTTTATTACTAGGAAAGCTAAAACTGATGTCTATCAAGGGCTGTTTAACCAATATTCTAGCTATCTCGTTGGTGATTCTTTCGGCCCACAAACCGGGGTCGGACGGAATTATATCGACACTAGCCTCATTAAAGCCTTCATCGAAGTGTCACTTGTAGCAAGTATTTCGGTAGCTGACATTACCGAACTTCTTACACAAGCTGAATTACCTGAAGTGGATTGTTCCAGTGCTGTAGACGAGGATGATGTCATCGCTTCATCGGGCTCTGTATCAGTAGAAGCTACAACTGCCGCCACTTGTTGCAGGACCTGATGTTACCGTGGTCGCCTCTGTTGAAATTTCAGATGGTCCACTCATGGTTACTGATATTACGGATTTAGAATCTTGAGATTCGGTCGCATCGATAATCTCCGTGGAATGTTGATTGTTCTGCAAGAAGTGCTTTAAAGATCCAGCCATTTTTTCCCTTTCTTGTAGTCTCAGTTTCTTTTACTCGCGAAACTTCGCACCTGAAGGTCTCTTTCTTTTATCCTAAAAAGCAAATAAATAATTAGCTCTCATGGGAATTAGGAATCAACTTTTAAAGTAAGCACAATAATAAGCACCAAGTTTACACATTTGAGTAAAAAGCAATTTGTTCGAGCCCTTTCAGCTTAAACCCTTTCAAAAATAAAGGCAGAACAAATATTAAACTAATTTGGTCTTATAACCCTTAAAAAACCCTACAAAATGTTTTTTTAAAAAGATCGATAGCATTAAAACTAAGCGAGTTATGGATAAAAAACCATTTACTTTTTTAAACTCGTACATGACATTTCAATTAATAAAAAGATATTTGACTAAAAAAAAATTAATTATAACCAGTATCGTATAAAGTGTTGATAAACGTTGATAGTATAAAGTAGGGACCACTTACCATTTTATAAAAATCAAACTGTTGAAATTTCAGTCAGCAGGTATTCAGCACTTAATTTTTTAGAAAAAAAAAGTAGTAAACAAAATATTATACAACACAACACTTGACAAAATAAAAATAACTTTAAATGTAAAAATTAATAGGATTACTTGTTTTTATGCACTTGTTGCACAGTCCAGTAAACTAACCAGTTTAAAAACGCTCTGTCGATGCATCGCTTTTATAGCGCTCCAGGCATTATTCTTGTCTGAACAGGAAAAATCAAGAAACTACCGCCTAACATGTTCTTGCAACATACGAATCGACAATAACTGAATGATATACTAATAAAATTTCGTGTGTATTTATATCTAATCCTATTTAATTTCTCAACTTTTATTTTAAAATTAATTTTTGTTTTTTTGTTTTTTTTTTGCAAATTTTTTTGCAATTTTTTTTTGCAATTTTTTTTTGCAATTTTTTTTTGGCCCTGGGTTTTGGTGCCCCTAAAGGATGGCGCCCCTTAAGGATGGCGCCCGTGTGCTTTGCACACTTTGCACATTATGTAGCGGGGGGCCCTGTATATACCTACTCTTCGCAGACTACTGTGTAAACAGTAGGTGACATTTTAAAAACATATAATGTCTATATCTCATTACTCCTTTATAGTTTCGGATTGGGCCGTCGATCTACCGTTCTTGCAAGCCCCCATTTAAGCAGTGGGCCCTTGAGAAGAACACAAAATCAAATGTGAAGAAACCCCGTAATACGTGGCAACCTCGGAAAAAGCATCAGTATGCAAAGAGGACTTATTTTCTTCAATAAATAATCGGACCATGAAAAAAAATTGATAGGTGGAAACTTCTCACTCCTGAACAGGTATGCTCTGGAGGTCCCAAACCGACACTGCTCCCTCATTCATGTGACAAATATACATTAATTACTTTTATTATTTATTAGTTAATAAAGAATGCTAACCGCAACGTATATTTTACTCCTATATTGTCGTTTCGTGTACAGCTTTGTTTTAAGAAAATACAAATAAAAAGTGACATCTAATTAGCGCATACATCATAAGTTTTTTAATAAAGTCAGAGCTTGAAACAGAAAAGTTAACTCGGTATAGATATAACAACACTTTTTCGTAGCAGATTGTTGATGTCCTCTGTTGGAGTCGAAAGATCTTTATTTTCATTCTTGTTTACTTTAAAAGTAATTAGTTTTCCGAAAGCGGTGTTGATAACGGACGATACTATTTTTATTTTTACGTCTTGTGTAATTTGTTATTCGCCATTTCCTTGCGGATTCTTTTATAAAACAGACAATGAGTTACAGATTAAATTCCGATCCATTCTGATTATTTGTTAAAAAAACTTTCTTCATTTTGGGAATCATTCATGTTAATTCTATAAAAATAAAAACTTTTTCTGAATATTGATTCTGTTAACAAAGAGGTATAAATCAAGAACTTGGTTTATAAAAGAGGAATGCTTCAAATTAAAAAAAAATATATTAACAAAAAGTATTAAAAAGTATTAAAGAAAAAATTGTTTAACGCTAACAGATGCTGCCTGGTGGGGCTGTTATTGACAATGTTGTCAAAGCATTTTGATTTGGATAGACAACAGTTATTGTAATGTCAACTTTTTTATTTTTATGATTATTGTGTTTACTTTCATTTTATTTATAATATATAATGTTTTTCTTTGTTACAGCTCAAAAGACAGGCGGAACTCAATTGAAACTCATTATTGAGTATGGCAATGGAATGAATTCTCTCTTCAAGCCAATGAGGTAAGCATTTTTGCTCCTTTATATTTTCAACCTATCCCTAAAATTCAAATCCCAAAAATACAAAATTTCATGTTCATCTGAACCGAAACTGTACCAAAATATGAACTGCCGCAGCACATAACCATTCAATTCCAAATGGCTGTCGGAGGGGTTTAACAGGGTCAGTGATATAATATATTATAAGTATAGTATTTTTAATACAAATACCGATGCACGTCATAGATCATTTATGAAGTCATGATCTTGCAGTGTTGTCTAATCATTAGACTACCCAAGAAATGTAGGAAGTTATAAAATTTTAAGGTTATATTTTTTCAAAATTATTTTGATAAAGCCACCTGACATAATAATATAATCCATTTTACATTTAAAAAATAAATAAAGCAAATAAACTTGGGGTATTTCCGTGACTTTAAAAGTTCATTGAACAAGAGTGGATATGGACAATCCACTCGAATTATACAGTATATTTTTTCTGCGACACACTAACGAAAATCTGCAAATATTAAAACTTATTTCAAATTATTAAGAGAAAATAACTAATTTAAAAATAATGTGTGATAGTGTTTATATTAAAAATTAAATTTGCGAAATTGTAATGTCAAAATCAAAATGGCAGAGTTCATTATTTTCAAAGCGTAAGTCTTAAAATTTTGTTTCTTACGTTAAATGGATATCTACAAATTTACATTATTGAGATTTTGCAAAATTTTGTCTAGAATCAAACTGCAATCTGCATTGTAACTGTTTCATTACCGTTTACATGTATACAAAGTACTACACCATTCACTTCGTAATATAAGAATAAGAATAGAAAGATTTTTAAGAGCAATATGCATGGTTAAAAACTGACTTAAAACGACTTCAAGGTTCTCTTTCTCAAGTCTTAATATTTTTTATAAAAGTTGCTATACCTACTAAGTAAATGATTAAGAACCCCGCTGTAGAGCCCGAATTCAGAAAAACTTATTTTTTAATTATTTCTATACAAATTATGAAAATTATTGCAAAAAGCAGTCTTTACCGGGAATTGTTATATAAAAATCAGCTAATTCTTTCCAATACACTTTTTTGTCCAAAGCGTATATTTTTTGAAAACCTTGAATTACGAAATCTGAGAAAATCTGTCAAGATTTGAATCCATATTAATTGATTTGGCAATAAAGCGGCGGACGTTGGCGGTGCATGCAGTACTGGAAAATTAGGATAAAAGTATTTATGTAGTCATTAAAGTCGTTTAGGATGAAATTATTAAAAAACTTTATTCCTTTTAGTTCAAGTGTAGGTGTTTTCGTTTCGTATTTAGTTAATGTGTTTATATGAACTTTTATGTGTAAGCTGAGTTATAACAATTTGTGGTAAAAATGGGAAAACTTTCGAAAATGCCGAAAATTATATTTCCGTTTCGACGGAAATCTATAAAATATCGTACTAGATGACTTAGAAAAAGACAAACACTAGCACCTCTTATTTCAGTCCAGTTCAGTTCCTGCCCTTCTAAGCATAAAAGTCAAAATATATGAGAAATTAATATACTAGGTATGGAATAGAAAAAGAACCTTTAGCTTTAAAGCAATATTCACAAATTTAAAGCGGATGTCCAATAAATGTGGTTTATTTGTGGATTCTGAATAGGGTTTTTTAGGTTCCGACGGTTTATTAGGAATCGACAGTATTATCGAAAGTAAATATCCTGCCACTGCTTCAAAACTGACTCCAGAAAAAGCAATGGTTGACGACATAATAAAATTTGCAATTATTAATGATAATGGCAAAATGCAATTAAACCGAAATCATAATTGTTATTATTACCAGATTCAGGGGCAACTTCACGTAACTAAACGGAATATTTGTTTTTTTTTATTATTTTGATACCTTTAAGTATGTTAGTAGAAAAAATAAAAACGCTGATAGATTTTGGTGTATATGGAAAACAAACTGAAGCAATTTTATTTAGATTGTATACTACCCGAGATCTTAGATCCACGTTTCACTAGAGGTTTAGATATTAGAAATCCAAGTAGAAATCCGACCAATAATCAATAAAAATGATTATTTTTATTTCTTCTTTTACTAATAATAAATCATTTTACTCCATGATATTTTTATATATTTTTAGTACTAGAAAACAATTTTTTCTACACCCAAATGGATATTAGCTTATCTACGTACAGACTACAAAACGAAAAAATATGCTATTGCGTAAAATGAGTTATACTTGTATAGAATCGATAAATAATAGCATTTCTAGTTTTATTTTATCTATATTTAGAAATAAATAATTATAAATTTTAATAAATTTATTAAATTAATTTAATTTATATTGACTCTTGTTACACAAACTACTATTTTCTACATCCACACAAAGACATGCTTTTTTCTATACCCACATGGATATTAGCTAATCTACGCACATACTACAAAACAAAAAAGTATTGCATTGCGTTCAACTGAACGAATATATTTTATACCCATTCTACCTAGTAAGAACACTGCAAAACAGTTAAATCCACCAATCAGTTTATATTTTGGTCACCAGGCTACTGTTATTTTTTAAATTTTATGTGAGTAACAATTCTGTCATAATAACTGTCAGTATATTTTTGAATTATTGAGATTAAATATACGTAAAAATTAATAATTCTTATGTATAATCGAGTAGTAATAGCATTTCTATTTTTATTTCGTCCAAATTTACAAACAAATCTTAAATTTTAATCAAACCATATGCAACTAATTTAATTACAAGTATTAGAACTAAAATGGCAAGTGTGGCATGGCGTGAGGACACGAAGTTTGTCTCCAAGCGAGAGGCCCGAGTTCAAATCAGGGCTGGGGTCTAATTAAATTAAATCTTTCTATATGTTTATTTCATTTTATAAATTACTAAAAGTCATTATTTTACATTATTTTAAAATTATTTATTTTGTCCTAATAAAATATTTTTTTAAATTTGTAGAATTTCGTTAGTGTGTCGTAGAAAAAATATACTGTACAACTCGAGTGGATTGTCCGTATCGCACTCAGATGATTAAGCACTCCGTCTACGGCGTCGTTCTCAAACTTCGTCTTCGTGCGATATGGCCATCATATCAAATTTTGTTGCACAAACTACTATTCACGCACAAACTACAAAACGAAAAAAAATATACTATTGCGTTCAACTCAACGAATATATTTCACATCCATTCTAGGTAATGAGAACACTGCAAAAAAAACGAAATCCACCAATCACTGTTTATATATTGGACACCCAACTACTATTATTTTTAAAATTTTAAAAAGTGACAATTCTGTCAAACTGTCAGTATATTTTTTAGTTATTGAGATTAAATATACATTAAAATGAGTTATTTTTGTGTAGAATCCATAAATAATTTTAATTTATTTTTATTTGGACCACATTTTAAAAAATCTTAAATTTGAATCAAACTACCTATATGAAACTAATTATTACTACTATTAGAACTAAAATTTTAAATGTGGAGGTGAAAATGAGGATACGGCATGTGTCTTTCACGCGAGAGGCCCTAGTTCAAATCTGGGCTGGGGACTAATTAAATGAAATATTTTTTCATGTTTATTTTATTTCACAAATTAGTAAAGTCATTAATTATTTTAAAATTAGTTATTTTGTCTTTTCCTAAAATAATACTTTAAATTTGTAGATTTTCGTTAGTGGGTCGTAGAAAAAACATACTGTATAACTCCAGTGGATTGTCCACTGTTGTTGCACAAACTAGTATCAAATGGATTATTATTTAAGAAACGTATTTTTATACAAGGTATTTGTAAATAAGTACGAAAGATTTTTGCAAATTGTTATGAAAGTTATTTTGTTAAAAAAAGTTCCTATAAAAGTAGGTCGAAAGAAACATATTTTCGGGATACAGAATGTTTAAATTTTAATTTATTAAATTTTATTAATTAATTCAAATAGTTTTAAAGATATTTACTCTAAATTTGCAAAAAAAACTTTGAAGGGACAAATGTATATTTTTTGGGGTGTTCCAAATATTTATATTTGCACCAGTGGCGTTTGTGCAAGAATGCAACTTTTTTAATAAAAAAATACTGCGTCACTGACTTTTTCGATCTGTTTTTTTATAAAATAACTTCGTCAAACATTCCTTAAAATCATTCACACTTACCAACAAACACCCTGTATGTAAGAAAATGTAGAAATAGGTACTATTTAGTTTCCGAAATAATCATAGGAAATACATATGTATATTTAAAAATATATTTCGTAAATAAATTATTTAGTCAGAAAAAAGAGTTTCGAAAATATTACACCAGGTAATACCTTCAAAAAATATTTTAAACGAGAAAATAAAACAGAATTACTCTTTGTTAGACCGGACCTGCGATTTATCGACCTTTTTTATATTTTAAATCATCTATAGTTTATAAGTAATAAATTGAAGGAAGCGTAAGTCTGGGAATAGAGCAACGTTGCCAAAGTGTGTTCAGATGCACTGAAAGTTGTCAGTGTGTACTAAACCTGAATTTGCTGTTAGGTGTTGCATGGATATCGCTCTTAATTAAGTTTATCAGTAATAAACGGTAGGTAACTGAAATGTCCTTTAAACCACATAATAAAACATGTCCTGGCGTTTAGTAAATAAATATTTCTAGATATTTGTGTAACAACCAAATAAATGAAGCTTTACAGCAAATTAGTCATAAACAGATGATAAATATATTTATGACAAAAGCACGGAAACTAAACTTAAATTAACACTAAATGAAACTCAAAAACACTATTATAATGAAAATATTATTTAAAAACAGTTAAAATATTACAAATACAAAATCCCGCCCAAAACAAACACAATGTAAATAAACAAATATCCTCCTTATAGGCGAAGCTACACTGACAGCTAAAGCAGACAGGGGCTGTCCCCAGGGAGGAGTACTATCACCCCTCCTCTGGTCAGTCCTAGTGGACGCACTCATAAAAAGGCTAATATCTGCAGATTTCTACTGCCTAGGGTATG